AGAAATATATTGAATGATTAAGTTTTGTCATTTTTGAGCTATCTCATTGGATCCTATGGGGTTATTAGGACAGTCAAGGTGGACAAACTCTTCATTACTGGATTTATGAACTTCAATAAAGCAATAGAATGACATTACATGGCTTAATTAAAAATGCATAGGCAGAAAACTCATGTTTTTACCTTGTGCTCTTTTGAAAAATGTGGTAGCATATTTAGACACAGCATTGCTGTAGAAAATAATTTGTTTCAGTTTGCCCCAAAGCATCTGAAATTGTTTATAGTACATTTGTTTGTAGTACATTGGTACACATTCAAAGTAAATTGGTAAGAAAATTGTCACAAATTAAATGCTGAGTTTTATTTAAAAGTATAGAAAACATCTAATTATATTTCAGCAAAACCAAATAGCACATCTAGAAATAAATATATTTTATTAATTTCAAGTATGGTTTGACATGGTGTCCTCCCATCTTTCTTTTTTATTTTTTAAAATAATGGTTTTTGCAAGAAATTACATGTAATCCAGGTGTTTAATGTTGATTTGTCTTATAAACTTTGGCATTTCCTTGTAAACTGCATTTTTCCTGTGCAGTAATATTAATGAAAGTTACAATCTGTATTCAATTTCTTGGAAGTAAATTTCCTTGAGTAATTGAGGTGTGCAAAGACTTGCCCTGTAAAAGTTTAAGTTTGTACAGGTAAAGACTGTTCATATCGTTACCTGATGTCTTGAATTGAATGTCTTCATTTCAAATCTTCACTTAACCATGAAGGTAATTGAAAATCTTGGGAATATTTTATTCAGTTACCATGTCTTGATGATTTGAACACATATATAAGTAAAATAAAAATATGTTTAACCATAATCATAATATACCTGACAGAAAGTAGTGAACCTTTAAGAGTTTTGTGTAGCATCATCAAAACAGATGCTATACATTTTATTTTAAATATTTGTGTTCCGGTTTTCTGTCACAAGGCATTCAGTCTTTTTTTTTGAAAGAGCGAGAGAGAGAGAGAGAGAGAGAGAGAGAGAGAGAGAGAGAGAGAGAGAGAGAGAGAGAGAGAGAGAGAGAGAGAGAGAGAGAGAGAACAGGAAATATGTTTATTATAAACTAAATTAAATGTCTACTGGTTTTGTTTTTTTGCCCAATGAGGAACTTGATCATTCTGAGTAATGGGTTTGCACTAATGTGACAGTTATTTGTTCATTCATTCATTCATTCATTCATTCATTCATTCAATTTCTAGAGTCACCCATCTCAATCAGTAACTAAAGTTAAAACTACTATGTATTTGTAACCTTGTTGCAAAAGTAAAATTTCTTTTGTAACTTTTCTTGAAAATGCCTCAAAACCTTTTTGTAAGAATAGAACATTTTTATTCATAATATGTCCACAGAATATACTAAAATTGCCATTTCTTTGTTCCTCATTTTTTTTAAAAAAAAAATCATTTAAGAAAAATGATTGGCTAGTGAATCTTTTCATTTAATCCTCGGTAAGAGTTGGCAGTATTATGCATACTTTAGTCAGCAAGCATTCTTCTTTGATCCCACTTATGCCCTGGGCATGGTTGCTTTGAATGGGGCATATTTCTAAGTATACATGGAGATTGTTAGACTGCAATTGTTACTGAGGCTGATGTAATTGTTATGTATTTCAAACATATAACATTTCTGTTTTACATTTCCAAATGTACAATAATGAAGTCTGTCAAATCTTTTGACAAAACTGATGGGACAGAACAACATGGCTATTGTTGCTGCTATTCATATTTTCAAACTTCTTACAGGACACATTTTTTTTTATGGCTGGCTGATGGTAGAGCTTGGATCTTACAATAATTTGCCTCTTCCCCAACTCATGTTGATGCTTACAAAGAAACATGAAAAAAAACATAAAGTCATGTCAAATCTTCCTTATCCCGGCCAGAGAAACTGCAGGCTTATGAAGAATGCCTTCCTGCTTGAGGTCAGGGTATGGTAACTTGTAATCTTGATATAAGCTGACAGATCAGGCTGTCTTTTGGACCTTGTTCATTGACTGGGAACCATCTACAGTTCTGCTTTAGGTGGTTCCTTTAATTCATAACGGCATGCAGTCCTCCTTTGTGCTACATTAAAATCCATTTAGGGCTTAAAATTAAGGCTATCATTCCCATCTTTTATTGGAGCATCAACGTTAATCAACACTGATGCTGAATTTAGAACGAATGTGTGAAATCTGTGCATGAAATACCATATGAAGTACTACAAAAATAGGGACAAAAAGAAAGCAAATGAAAAGAGTTACAAAACAACTATGGTTGTAGAATTAATCTCTCTCTATCCCTTGTGATAGTTCCATGATGCCCTTGCTGTTTTAAAATGTCTTTTCAGATGTTCTAAAAACACCTATCCATTCATTTTTGATCAGATAAGCACTCATTATGAACTGAATAATACATTATTTTCACCAAATACTACAGACTATGTTATTCTGGGTTTTTGGGGGAGAAAGGATGACAGAGTAGCACTAAGAAAATAGTGTCCTGGATTTAATAATTAAAGTTCCAATGGCTGCTACTTTGATTTGCTTAGGTTTACAGGTTGATCATCAGATATATTCATCCTTCTGCCTCTTTCCAGCTCTGCCTTGCTGTTGCTAGTTTTTTTTCTTTTTCTTTTTTTCCTCTTACTGCTTCCATAGTTCTGGGTTCCTTATCAAATACTTTTTCATTCGGAAGCCATTGGACCAAGGATGCCAGAACTGAAATAAATTTTTTGGTTTTTTTGATTCCACTTGCTGATACATTTGTCTTTTCTTTTCTTTTCCTAGTTTCATGGGTATACTGTTCATTCTTCCAATGCATCTGTTTATCTATGTATTAAATTATGTAATTCACTGTATTGATCTGAAGTTGATGTATTTTCTAATAAGCTTCTATTTAGAAGAATGATTGAAAGATGATATAGACACCTTACTGTATTTGGGCCTGATCAGATAGTTTTGACACAACTGTATCTATGTCATCATGCTGCTGCCGAACGATTTTAGACAGCATTTTGGAGGGGAAAAAAGAACAAAGCTTAAATGAATCAAATGTGAAAAATTAGTTCTGATCTGCTTCAGGAGGCAGAGTCCCAAGGTTTAGATACAACACTTATCTAAATAGTTCAAAGCTTTGCATCTGATTCTCCTTATCTGGACTTAGAAGCTATGCAGAGTTAAGCCTAGTTAATATTTGGGTGGAAATATGGAAGAAAAAAATAACCCAATCTGGAAGAAGACAGTGGCAAACTACTTACGTTCTCTGGCCAAGAATATCACCCAATTGTACCTATAAAAATCAGGAGCTGAGCTTCACATGAAAGTATCTTTATATTCTCCAATTTTCCTCACCTAAATTCTAACGCGAGCTCTCCTTAAGTTTGTATTTCTTTTGTTCTAAATATTGGAACCCATTTCCTGTTTTACAGATTATAACCTAGGTTCAAAAAGGAAGGTCTTGATGCCATTGAATCTAATTCAACCATATATTATTTTGTAGATTAAAAAATGGCAAACTCAAGCTGTGCATGCTGGAAAACATCCTCAGAATGTTTAGAAATTAATACTGTAATAATAATGTGAACAGCTATTATAGGTTTATTAAAAACCAGATTTCAAGAAATGAGCTGAAAAGCACAAGTAGAGGTGACATTCACAGAGATAAAAGGAAAATTGTGATTTCATTCTGATCTAATTCCCTCCCAACTTTATCATCATCATTATTATTATCATCATTATTATTAATAATAATAATTAGTAAGTAAAAATCATAGGTATTTTTTTAAAAAAATAGCAATAAGCCTTTTTCAACCGATGTGAAATACTTAATGAGCTTTAGGGACTACCTAAAGTTGTGAGCTTTCAGGAATTACTAAGGAAAAAACCATGATTCTACCAACACTGGCAGGGCACATAGCTATATGTAAACAGGAAGCAAACTCCACATTCATTAGCACTGATGATGTTACCAAATTGAATAATAAAAGGGTCTGCAAGAAAGCAACCAAGAAAAGACCATGTCTACCTTCTTTTATTTGAAGAATACTTTATTTCAGAGGTTTTTATGTTCATAAACACACACATACACACACACATGTACATACTGATTAGGAGAAACTCAGGATCTGCCTTTGTAATTCATTGCATCTGCTTCCTTTCCCTCCCTTACTTAAGGTAATATTTCATATTTGCAGTACTTTATACACCTTCATTCTAAACTCAGTGTCAGGGTTGATTAATGTTGGTATCCCATCAATGATAGAGAAGGGAGTCTCACTTTTGAGCCCTCAGTGGATTGTAATATAGCACAAAGGAAGACCACATGCCATTATGAATTAAAAGAGCTGCGTAAGCCAAGACTGTAGATCGTTCCCAGTCAATGAACAAGATCCAAAAGACAGCCTGATCTGTCAGTTTCCATCAGGTTTACAAGTTGTATCCTGATTCCAGGCAGGTGGGCATCCATCATAAGCCTGCAGTTTCTCTGAAAAGAGAAGGAAGATTTGATGCGACTTATTTTTCCCATGTTTTTTTGTAAGCACAAAAGCTGACTGGCTAAACTTCAGATCACTTTCAGCCCTACACTGGGAGGTATTGCTAAGATTCCACATTGGATCAACATGGCACACTGTTGTCCATAACCTTAACTGCAATAATAATACACACACACACACACACACACACACACACACACATATGTTTATGTATGTGTATATGCACATGCACAAACACAGATATATACAGACAAAACCTTTGAATTATCAACATCAAAAGGCTGCATTTTAAAAAAATGCTAATATGCAATTGTCTTATAGTGCACCATTCTTGTGGAAGAGACATCTATCCATCATCTTTTAACACTGGTTACTATTGAATTTGGACCCTTAGGATATGGAAGCAATTCATTATATGATGGTTTTGTTCCCCCCCCATTTTCTAGAGATCGGGTACCATCAGTGGCTAAAGGATGTGCAGTTCCCTGAGCCCAAAGGCCCGAGGTCCTGGCCTCTCCGATATGCATCAGTACAGCCAGTGGCTGGCCAGCAGACACGAGGCGAATTTGTTGCCAATGAAGGAAGATTTGGCGCTATGGCTGACAAACCTGCTGGGTAAGGTTATTTTTACATACTGTAATTATTGTCAAGCATTTCTAAATTTGATCTTAAACCCTGACATGCAAGTGGAAAAACCTGCTCTGAATAAATAATTAAAGTTCTACCATCTATCTTGTTTGTCGTCTAGTTCTATAGGTTGCTTAGAATTCTAATTTCACCTGCTTTCTTATTTGGAAGGCCACAATGAAATATTTCTTCCATGCTAATTTAGTATGTGTGTGTGTGTAATATATGTATATATCTATGTATATATTGGATGGGGAGGGGAGGAGAAAAGGCTGTAGTAGAGCTTCGATAATTTTGTTTAGTTACCTGCTAGCAAGTATATTTGTTATATGTATTTATGCTTTGTTAAAAATCTGCTTTACTGTTTCCTTTCCTGGAAATGTGCTGAAGATTTCAGGATTCCATTGGGTATTGTATGATTCAATTCAAGATTTCTCAGTAACCCAATTCAATTCAAACTGATTAAAAAGTCCATTCAAAAGTGTTTTGCTTGTAGACCATGATACAGAAACTTCAAAATACTTGAAGTCTGATCACTTTTTGGCAAAATGAAATGAAAGTAGCAAGGTACCAATGAGTACCAGTGAGAGGATGGCCAAAAGCAAGTGGTTTTCCAACTTGTTAGTATAATTACTCCCTCACCACTGAAAAAAAATGTGGATTTCCTAAGCACCGCCAAGAATTCAGCCACCATTTCAGGCTACAGTGGACTGCACATTAATTTATGGGACGAGTGGGAAGAAAATGCTACGCATTTGAGTTGCTAAGGTAGAAGAGCCAACAACACCCTCATATTAGCAATGGGCAATCAACTCTCTATTTAATCTTATTCATGTGGTAGCCACTCACTCATTGCCAGAAGACTTAAAGCTCAGTAATACATAATTTAAAAGTAAGGACAGCCTTGGGTCCATATTTAGAAAGCTGAAAGTTTAGCCAAATTCCTACTTCTACACAGAAGTGTAAGTGTCTGTTACTTCGAGACAGAGAAGTTTAGGATTCATGTCTGGCTATATTAAAAGAATTGAGAGCTGAGAAAGTGAATGATATTCAAAATTATTGTTAGTCCTCCTACCCAGAAAAGCTCTGATAGGCAGAGAATTTAATGTAATACATGCCATTGGTTACTTCCTTGTATCAGTCTCTCTCCAGGGAAACAATAATTATGGATGTTGGAAGATGTAGTTCAGCCACATTTGGAGAGCTAAACATTTTCTTCCTCTTTATGTTACAGAGCAGTCTAAGACTGTTTCTCCATTAGTGTGAAAAAAAAATCTCTTGAGTTTCTTGAAACAGTCCTATGAAAAAAGGCATAATACATCCATTATGTACTTGACACTTCTTCCCTATGACATTGAAGAAAAATAATTGGTAATTATGGAGAAAATGTCTTTCACTATTTTGTGCCTCTCTTCCTGTGCACGGATTTCATTTAAATACAGTTAAGCAAGATGGAAGGTTCATCTTTCACTTTTTAGAAGAGAGATCTGCTGGGCTGGCAGGCTTTCAGTACAGTGTTTGCCAATAGGTCAAAGCTTCAATACATTAAAAACTTTCTTCTTATGTGCATACCCACCGGGCTTTTCCCTTTCAGAATGGGTAAGATTAGGCAAATGTAGAAAAGGAAGATAAAATTAGGCAAATAAATTAAGACATGAGGTAGGGAAAAGAAAGCAGACTACATAAATGGGATATTCACATGTTAAACAAGACACATTCCATAAGCAAATATCTCGTTGTCGTGACCTTTAACTGAGTGAAATGGTGCATTATAGGGTAACAATTTTTGAAACAAGGTACTTCAAATGGGCGAACTTACAGAATGTGTCCAAACTACACAACCCAAAGGAATGATATTTGGGGAAATTGTGGCTGCTTCAGCGCTGTGGGCTGTTGCTGTGCTGCTGTGGTATAGGAGCACAGCAGTGGCAGTAGGAGATGACCTGGATTCTGAAGAAGAAGCATTTTTCTATCTGTTGTCCCTAAGAGTTTTCTCAGACGTTTCAGGAGATCAGTAAATGGAAATGAAGTCTGGAGCTGTTAGATGAGGAATAGAACTGAAGGAATAGCACAGGTATGAGTTAAGATTGAAGGAGGCATTTCTGTTATTTTTCTGGTACTGCATTGCTGGGCTGTTAACCTGGTTTACAGAGGCAAGAACAGAAAGATATGCTGTTTGGTTGCTAGCAGTGTGCTGATAAAGTCAGTCGGATTTACTGAGCTCTTGTCTTCTTGTAGGAAGAATCTATGAAGCTGACTAGGCAACATCTTATGCTAGTGAGATTTTGTGGGGGACTGTGGAGTCTGATGAAAAGTTAGGGCACAGGTGTCAAACTCGATTGCGTCACGTGATGTATCATGATCAAAAATAGCTAACTGAGGGACTTGTAAGACCTTTCCCCTGAAGCTTACTGTTTAAAAGGCCTAAACAGAAGGAAATGCATTTGGTAGGTGGAGAAAAAACAAGACGGTTGCTAAGAGGAAGATAATAAAACTGTTAAGTTCTGACTATTTTCAAACTGAACATATGTATCTTCTCAGCTGGCTTATACTCTGCTCACCTGTTGTTGTTTTTTGCTTTTAATGTTTATTTTTCTTTTTGTGTTTCTGGTCTTGAGTTTTCACTTTGACCACTTCTTCTCTCTTATCAAGACAAGATGGTTCCTTCGGATGTCAATTAGGAAAGGGAAAGGTCAACGCAGGATACCAGACAATGACAATTCATCTGTTTTATGAAGTATACTACTACGAAGAAGTGGGAAAATAATAATAGTAATTAAGAATAGCAGCAAGATGATGTAGGGAGGCCAAGGCTGTAAACAGATTCTTCATAGCAGATGTTCATTCTTGACATATGAAAAACCAATATATGGTATAGTAGCCTTTTCCAAGCTGGAGGCCTTATTTATATGTGAACTTCAGCTCCGAAATATGTCAGCATGTTGGCTGCAAATATTGAAAGTTGAAGACCACACCATCTAGCAGATGCCAAATTGAGGGAGATTTACCTATATGTAATAGGTATTTCTTCAGTCCTTTCATATACCTGTTTTTTTTAATTTACTGAAGCATTTTTGAGAGCACTTTCAGCGTTAAGAATCTACTGGATATGGACAGTACCTTTCCTATAATCATTTCAATAAACATTTTATGGAAGACTTCCTCATCCTATTTATATTTATTAAATAGTTACAAAAACAAACAATTCCAAAGAGAAAGAAAAGTGGGAGATGGTTGATGAGAACACTGTGTTTTCATGAAGAGCTCTGTGATAAACTGAAAAGTTAAGTTTAAAAAAAAATGGGAAAGGGGCATATCAGGAAATACCCTGAATTTGTAAACCTGGAATCAGGAAGAGTGAGCAGAGGCTTACAAAGGGAATGCCAAAAACAAAAACAACAAGAACAGTCATTTAAATATGTGCAGAACAATAGAAAAGTTAAGCCACTTGTTGGAGAAGATGCCAAAGTGGTTAGAGAAGCCAGAGAGAAAGCCGAACTGCTTAATTCCTATTTTGTCTCTGACTTTTTTTGCAACATTAAAAAAATGATCCATTATGTTAGCAGTTGCAGAAGAGAAGTGCAGGTCAAAATTGGCAAGTAAGTGAAGAGAGAATACTAGCTTCTTTGAATGAATTCAATTTGCCGGAGCCAGATGGATTATATCCCAGGGTGGTAAAGGAACTGGCAGATATGATCTCAGAACCACTAACTGTAATCTTAGAGAACTGCTGGAGTATGAGGGGGGTGGGTATGCTAGAAAAATGAAGAAGAGCTAATATTTTTCCAATCTTTAACAAAGGAGAAAAAGGGTACTCAGCAAAATGCATATTAACTGGCTTGATTTCAATATCTGGGAAGAGTAACAAAATAGTGGGTCAAAGGGAATACTAAAAGCCAGCATGAGTTTCTTAAAAACAGTTTACGCAGAGTAATTTATGTCCCCCTTTTTTCACAAACTGATTTGATTAATAGATCAATGGATGTAATATGCCTGATCTTCAGTAAAGGAGTTGATAAAGTGGAGCACAGTCTCTTTCTTGCTGAACTGGGCAATGATTTGCAATTGGTTGAATAACCATAATGTGGTGCTTAATGGGTCTATGCCTAAGTGGAGAGAGATATCAGTTCTGTTCAACATTTTTATGAATCACTGAGATGAGGGATAGAAGGGATGCAGAGCACACAAATGTGAGGGGGCAGTATTGCTGCCACCTCATAAAACAGGATTGGGGTTCAAAATAATCTCTATAGATTTGAATATTGGGCCTTTTGCAACCAAATGCAGTTCAGTGGTGACAAATGTAGAGTTCTGCACTTAGACAGGAAAAACCAGATATGGAGATATAAGATAGGGAGGTACCTGGTTCAACAGAAGTATTTGTGAGAAGGCTCTGGGTGTCTGGTAGACCACACATTAAATATGAGTAGAAATGCTTTTTAACTGCCAAAAGAGCCAATGTATTTATTTATTTATTTATTTATTTATTGTATTTATATCCCGCCCTTCTCCTCTCGGACTCAGGGCGGCTGACAAATGATAAAAAGCTAACAAATTACACCTAGTTAAAATTTGATTAAAATGAAATATTTGAAAATGTCAAATTTAAAAGTAATTAAAACCCCTATAAAATCCCCTAGGCCAGTCCCGCTTGCTGGAACAACCACGTCTTGAGGGCGCGGCGGAAGGAAGGGAGATCAGGAATCACCCTGA